AAGAAGCTCCTAGATCTTCATTATTACCACCACCAGCACCATTAACCGTGGAGTTCAAACTGTTCATACACAAAACTACCAAAACAGGGCCCCAAGGTTTCATCCTATCCATGGTTATCAACTTGAAGCTAATTCGAATCAACCGTCGATTATATGGTGTATTAAGTGTTCTGCCAGTAAACTTCGGAGTGTTTTTATATGGAATTTGAATTTTGGTTTGATGCAGGGTAGTTCATCAAACAAGTTACATAGTTTCTGTCAACTTTGTAGGACTTGCTTTGGCCATACGTCAATGGCGGCCTAGATTATATTTTATATATGGTTAATTACAAAAGGGTGTTGATTAAACATTTTGTATTTGATAATTAAATCGATGAATTGAGAATGCTCTGGGTCAGGTGCAGCTTTGGTAATAATTTAACAAGTGATGGGAAAATAATGTTCTACACAATTGGGAGAAAACCAATATTAATTTTTTTTTTTTTTTTTTTGGTTGCAAGAAATAGAGAGCTAAATTAGCAAAGCAAATGTCTTCTCCTTATCTCAACCTGATCCAGTCTCAGAATACTTTCGACTTCTCTTGGCGGTCGAGTGTAAACGCAGCGTTCCAAATTTAATTGCCGACCCAAGCTGGCCATGCCATCAGCGAGTTGATTTGCTTCGCGAGGAGTGTAATTGAACGTGACAGACCATTGGCGAAGCAATAGGCACCGAATCCTCCTGACCAAAGAAAGGGTGTACGTCTGGGTGTCCTATTTTATGCACTGGATAGCCTGTTTGCCGTCCATCTCCACTGTCACTTATCGATAGCCACGATCCCAGGCAAGCTCGAGACCATCCAGGACAGCCCATAGCTCGGCAAAAAGAATAGGATTGGCTATTTTCAGTCGAACGTAATGTGGTTGAGTGGATTAGATCATCTAACCATTAAATAACTGAATTTATTCCCTCGATTTCAACTTTATGTCAATTTATACCTATTTTTATGAGTTTTGTTTGAACTTTAGGGTCCAAGAAGCTAAATTGAATATTCTCTTAGCAAAATTTAGTAATTGAAGGAGAGTTGTTAAGTGTGGAGTCCTTAAAGGGTAATTTTAACAAAGACTCACGAGATTAGGATTGGCGTGAACTGTGGGTAGTGGAGTTTAATTGAGAGAATAATGACTAAACATTGCAATTTGGTTTAATTTTCTAAACCATAGTGGTTGAGAGTGGGGAGGTACATCTGTTTAATTTTCTAAACCAGAGTGGCATGAATTGGTTTAATTTTCAAAATTAGAATTGGGTTGAGTTTTCGATAAATTTGATTTAATTCGAGTTTAAGATGATGTTATTCAATTTATCTTCTGATATAAAATTTGTATTTGAACTTATCTGATATAAGTATATGTAATTTTTAACTCTAATCAATAAGATATGAATCTAATTTAAAAATAATATAGACAAAATATTATTACAATTATCTATAAATATATAAAGTATAATTATATTATTTTTCAGGTAAGGTCATATATTTTCCACCAAAGTTTTTATATTAAATTCGAATCTTAACCAACCCAAACATATAATCTAAAGAAATCAAACCCAACCCAAACTTAAATCTTTTTTTAAAAAAAACTTGACCCCATAGGATTGGCTGAAACTTATCTGGTTTGGATCCTATGTCTATCTCTAATTGAAAGACGAGAATTTTTTAATTCCTTCCTCATTTTGTGAAATCAAAAGAAAAAAATGATTAAATGAATAATTGTTATCTTTTGAAGTCTCGAGTTCGAGTACATTGTGTTTGAACGTTTATTGTCAAATAATTAAAAGTATTTTCAACATATATTCTCTTATAATAATCCATACTAATAAAAAAAAGCCCTTAAAATAACACAACACTATGAACAATAAATGAAATCATAAATACAGAAGATGGGATTAGAAGGGAAAGAACATTTTAGGGTTCATAAACTCGGAAGAAATTCCCTAAATCCCTATCACTAGAGTTTAGTGTTTTAGCCCAATACTGCTAAACATATTTAAAGCCCGAAGTGCAGCTTCCAGTTGTAAAATCCAACAGTAAGCCCAACTATAAGTACACTCTTAACATTCTCTATGTTGCCTTTCTTAGCTTCTTTGAGATCAACCACACTAACAAATCTTTGAACCGGCGGTGGTTTGGTAAGAACATCTGCAGTCTGAAATTGTGTAGCTACATTATTACTTTGCAACTGCCACTTTTTTACTAATGAACTGAATGCCAAATTTTACACGCCTTGTTGTTGCTTGCGGGGTGGGACTTGCCGTCATATTCATGTCTGTCAGTATTGTTTTAATTCAATTTACTTCCACCGCAACATTAACAGGTTATCTATAGTTGACGGTTAAAGAAACAGCATATTTCTTAGAGCTCTAAGTTAACATATATGTCATAAAAAACATAATAATTCAATACAAATATTTTATCATTAATATCCATTATTCAGCTTATATAGTAAAAACCTGTTAACATCGTTATGTATGAATTCTGATAAATAATAAGATAAATAATATTTTCAATTTTATAGATAAAAAGTGATATATCATGTGTGAAAACTTGAAAGGTTAAGCAACATAGAAATTCACACAGAAGACAGACTGATTCGGTTTGGAATGTCCACGGATGGCTGGTGTGGGCTGTGTGATGTTGCTATAGAGTCTAGAAGTCATTTGTTCGCTGAATGTTCCTTTTCCAAAGGATGTTTAGATGGGGATTTTGGGTGTTTACGGGTTGCAATGGAGAGGATTGAGTTGGGATGATGAGCTTGCGTGGGCAGTTGAGAATTTGAAAGGTGGTTCTTTACTTGTTAGAATTTTGAAGTTAGCTTGGGCGGGGTTTCTTTATTGCATCTGGGAGGAGTGCAATTATCAATTGTTTAGGAACACTAGCCGACTGGTGAGTGATATTGTCAAGTGTTAAGTGCATTAAGGAGATGGTTAGGATAAAATTGAGTAGGTGTTTTATTGATAGGAGTGATAGAGTGAATTTAATGTTGTGTGCAGTAAGGGTGTTCAAAACCTTACCAAAATGTCGGCCTGTTTCCCGATCTGGGTATTCGTATTTTCAGGTCACTAGTATCTGATTCATAATTTTTTTTAAATTATATTATTTTTAATATATATATATATATATATATATATATATATATAAATTCTAAAATTTAAAATTTAAAGTTATTTAATACATAATTCACACATAAAGTTTTAAAATTCAAATCCATAATTGAAAAAGAATTTATTAAATAATAAAATAAAAATATAATTAAATTTCAAGTGTTTTGAAATTAATATAAATATTTTAAAAATAATTTAGAATGTTAATGTGAAATAATTTAAGAAATTAATAATTTAAAATGTTATGGTGACAATTTAAGAAATTCAGAATTCAGAATGTTAGCGTGAAATAATTTGAAAATTATAAATAAAAATTTAATATCAAATAAATAATATATATATATAGTAAACCGGATATCGGGTCGACAAGTATCGAGTAAGCATAATTTTGTGATCTGAACCCGACCTAGAAACACAAAAAAATTAACCGGCTTAGTACCCGACCCAAAAAATTAGATATTTTCAATATAAATATCCGATATTTTTTAATCTGGTGGATAGGTGAACGGATCGGATCGATCGAATCTGGTCAATCAAGTCAAGTATTTTGAACACCCTAATGTGCAGATTGGGGGATTTAGTGTTGGGAAATGCTCACGTGCGGCGTTTTAGTATACGGCTAAAATAAGACGCTATCGGTTTTGTTATTATTTTAAATAACAAAAACGATAAAAAATAACCGAAAACATCATTATTTTGACCGGTTATAATTACTTATATAGGTAAATGTTGTAGAAAAAATCCGGCCAAACACTAATGTTTTTTGACCGGATTTTTTTATCGCTTTCACCTATATAAATAATTATAACTGGTCAAAATAATGATATTTTCGATAATTTTTTACCGATTTTATTATTTAAAATAATAATAAAATTAGTAGCGCCTTATTTTATGTATATACTAATGTAGTGTTCTTTTAATCTGCCTTGTTTAGTTTGGCAGGTGAGGGTATACTGTTTGTACCAGCTTGGCTACTTCTCTGGATAATAAATAAAAACGACTTGCCCAAGAAAAAAAATTCACACAACAACAAATATATATATATATATATATATATATATATATATATATATATATATATTTCATAAAATTATAATTTAAAGTATATTTTTATAGTTTTAAAAGTAAAACGCCGGGAAGGAGCTTAATATGGAAATATATATAATGGCGGGAGGTAGGTTGCTGCAGTTAGGGTGTGCAAAAAAATTCGATCCGATCGATCTGATCCGTTGATCTGTTGATTCGATCTAAAAATTCGGATATTCGGTCCGTTTTTTAATTTTCGGATAGTTCGGATCGGATATCCAAAAAAAATTTCGGATTTTTGGATCGGATACGGATCGAGCAAAATCCAGTTTCGGATTATCCGAAAATCTGAAAAAAAAATTGGGCTATATTATTAGTCCATAGCTGTTTGGGCTAGTCAAACCTTGTTCTGCCTGTGCCATTTCCTTTTTTTTTTAATTCTCGCCCGAAATTTCGCTTGATTGTTTCAAACCCTCATTTCATTTCTCTGTTTTTCGTCGTCCCCTACTCCCCTTCTCTTGATTATTTCTCTTACATTCTTACGCGACTTTGGCGCTCTTCAAAGCATTTCACCTAATCCTGTGGCTAGAGGCAAGCCAGCTACCTTCACCATCTCAACTTCTACCGGTAAACTTTCCCTTCTTGCAATTTTTCTAATGGTTCTTGCTTTGAGTTTGATTTCATGTTTGATGGTTAATATTTAATTATGAAAAAGAAGAGGGTAGGGTGTTGAACTTTAGAAATCAACGAAATCACTTCATATTTTCTAGGGATTCAATCCTATTGAACTTTAGATGCCGAATCTTTTTTAGATTAAGTAAAACATGAATAGTTAGTATTGTATCAAGCCAAGCATCAGAGATTTCTATAATATGAGTCTAAGGATTGTATGTTTGTGGAATATGAGTTGTTTTATGGAAGAAACATAATTACTTTACTGGTTTGGATCTCCAGTATGTAAGAACCTTCTTTAGGGTGATACAAAACTATCCTAAACATAGGCCGAATCTCGGGGAGGTTAAACACGAAGCTTAATTAAGAATCAACCTTCAACCCTCCATATGAACTGTACCGGCATGACTATAAAACCCCTAAAATGTTCTCTGGCAGTTGAGAGTATCAGCATGACCCTAGACCCGTATCATGAAAGCTAATTCTTCTCAGTGTTCCTTTTGATTTAGAACCTTACATCAGTATCTGATTTCTTAGGCAAATATATTTCAAATCTTGGTGGATATGCTCTTAGTTGCAAAGTTAAATCCAAATTGCTAGACTAGTGCTGTGTTTTGATGGCAAAACCATTTCTTCTAAATCTTTTTCTTTTTGAATAAAAAATATATTTCGGATTTAATAGCTTAGACATAAATTCTTGACGTCCTGGAACATCTTGGTCCATGTCATCAAATGCCTTTATTTATACAGTACCACATCTGTATATGCATATAAAAATTGCTCCATGTTTTTATGTCCATGGTTCACAGAGCCTATTGTGGCATTTCATGAGTGTGTTAGAATCTTATTAAAAGTAATTATTAATGACGTAATTAAATGGATTTCCATCCGTATCCAACCAAATTCTCCCTGGATAATAGGATTTCATTCTTCATTATTTTCTAACTGCACGTGTGTTAATATACTGTCGGTGGAGGCTGCAACAAATCTTAATTTGGTTTCAGTTTAACTAATTGTGTTAGAAATCTTTTACATTACATTTTTGTAATATATTTTATTGCTTGTTTACAGAATATGTCATCTTTTGCTGAGAATGGAGATTTTAATTCCGTATTTGTTGACTCGATGATGGAGTCTAATGAGGAGAGAAGACAAAATTCAACAGCAAAAAAAGCTTCTCTCGATAAAAATACCGGAAATAGGAAGAGAAAGTCCAAGTGGTGGAGTCATTTTTCAGTTGATGAGGAGGATCCCAGTATTGCTTCCTGTAAGTATTGTCAAAAACTTATTGGTTGTAAAACCAAAAATGGCACTACACCTTTAGCAAATCACATTAGTAGGTGCAAAAAATATCCCCCAAATTTGGATAAGAAACAAAAATTGATTGATTTTGAAAGTGAAACGTTGGTAAATGAAGATGGAAGTACTGAAATAGTTAGCGTTCCAAAATGCTGGAAATTTGATCATGATTTGTGTAGGAAGAAGCTTGCAAAAATGCTTATTGTGGATGAATTGCCTTTTGCTTTTGTCGAACGTGAAGGTTTCATTGAATTCTACAAGGCTTTAAATCCTCTCTTTAAGCTTCCTTCTCGTACAACTGCCACTAGAGATTGTTATGCTCTTTTTATTGAACAAAGAAATGAGTTGAAAAAGACTGTTAAGAACTTACATTCTAGGGTTTGTCTAACCACAGACACTTGGACATCGGGTCAAAATTTAAGCTATATGTGTTTGACAGCCCATTTTATTGATGATGAATGGAATTTGCATAAGAGGATAATTAATTTTTGTCCAATTGCTGGTCATTCCGGACAACTTATTGGCAGAGCTGTTGAAAAATGCTTGATTGAATGGGGTTTGAAAAACATTATGACTATAGCTGTAGACAATGCTAGCTCAAATGATTTAGCAATTGAATACTTGAGAAGAAGACTTACCATTTGGGTGTCTAGTTTATTGGAGGGTCGATATTTATATATGAGATGTGCATCCCACATTTTGAATTTGATTGTGAAAGAGGGTTTGAAAGAACTTGATTTTTCCATTATGAAAGTTTGAACTCTTGTGAGATATGTTAGATCATCTCCCGCTAAACTTTAAAAATTTAAAACTTGCATAGAAGAGGAGAAAGAGGATAGCAAAAGTCTTGTTACTTTAGATGTTGAAACTAGATGGAATTCAACTTTCCTAATGCTCGAATCTGCTATCAAGTTTAAAAAGGCATTTGCTAGTTTATACATGAAAGACTCCTCTTGTTTCAAGGAGCTTAGAAAGGTTGGTGGTGGTCCCATTAAAGATGATTGGAAGAGGGTGAGTAGTTTTTTACCTTTCTTGAGCATTTTTTATGATGCAACATTAAGGTTATCTGGTTCTCGTTATGTTACTTGTAACCATTATACACACGGGATTTACGGGACTAGATTAATGATTTCCAACATAAGTGATGATGAAGAGGGTATTAAGAAAATGGCAGCCCAAATGATGTCTAAGTATGATAAGTATTATGGGAACATTGATAATATCAATATTATGATGTTTGTGGCTGTGATCCTTGACCCTAGGCACAAATTGAATTATGTTAATTGGATTGTGCATGATTCTTATGATGAAACACAAGCCACTCTTTTGTTCCTCAAAATTAAATGGTTTTGCAATATTTATTTGACTCATATGCTTCTTCAATGCCTTCTTAAAAGACAAGTGATATGTCTTCATCCACTTCTACTTCTTTATCTAATTTCACTCAAGGTGGGAATCAAAGTAGAGGTAAGATTGATCTTCAACAACTTATGGCTTCAAAATTTCAAAGGGATACGGGTTGTTTGTTAACTAGTGCCAATAAAAATGAGTTGGAGAAGTATTTAGAAGATGCTTGTGAGTCTCATGTTTCAAATTTTGATATCCTACAATGGTGGAAAGATCAACAAAAAAGATATCCGATTCTTCATAGGATGGCTAAAGATGTACTTGCCATACCTATCTCTACTGTAGTTTCTGAGTCGGCTTTTAGTACGGGGGTCGTGTCCTTGATTCTTTTCGTACTTCATTGACTCCAAAAATGGTTGAAGCACTTGTTTGCACTCAAGATTGGTTACGCACCTCTCGGTCACCTATTATAATAGAAGAAAGTTTAACTGCATTGGAAGAGTTGGAGGAAGGTAAGTTTATTTTTATGTTTGATTGCTTATTTTTTTGTTTGTTCAATATTTAAAGTTTAAACATAAATTTATATTTTAATCTTTTTTATTTTATTTTGTGTGATGTAGCCATAAAGGATCTAGCTTTAGAGCAACCAGAGATCATAATTGACGAGACAATTAATACTTTGGATGATTTGTAAAATTTGTACTTTGAAATTTTTAAGTACTTAGTGATCCTATCTCTTTTTTTATGTTATTAAGACTTAACACTCTTGTGTGGTATTTTATTTTGAACATCTTGTGTTGATTTGATTGTGTTGTTAAGATTTGATACTCTTGTGTGGTATTTTTAATATGAACATCTTGTGAAGTTCGGTCCTATTGTTTTTCTGCTTTTACTATGTTTTATAGAAAGACTCGTTATATGCAGTCCTCAAATACGTTTAAAGTGGAGCTATTTAATTTCATGGTTTACACAGAATGTTCCAACTCTTTTTTTTCAAGTTAGTTGCAGTTGTCTTCTATTATTGTATGCCAGGTATCTAACCAGTCATTGAACAACTCGAGCATATGACCAGGACTTGATTTTGGTCATTAAATTGAAGCGACTGCCCCAGAGATGGATACGACTTTTTTTAGGTTCCAAAGAAATAAGGATGGGTACAATTTTCTATTTTAGAAAGAAATATAAACCAAAATTCCTTAAACGCTCCGATTGGGAAATTGGATTTGGATTTTATTTGCAATGAGAATGGTAAAAAAATAAAATATATACATTAGAGATAAATAGTTATGATTCAATACAATATAGTAAAAACGAGGAGTGAAGTAGAACATTAATTTTATGCTTATTAAATGTGTTATTTTAGTATAAGATTATGAATAATAATAGGATAATTTATGCGTTTAGTATCTAAATTATCAATTTTAATACTTAAATTTTTAATTTTATGTTGATTAATGCTTTTATTATGCTGTTGTACTTTAAATTTTTTGCACAAAAAAAAATTCGGATTCGGATCCGGATATTCGGATATCCGAATATTTCAGATCAGATACGGATCATTATTTTAGGTATCTGAAATTTTCGGATATCCAAAAATTCGGATCGAATAATATCCGATATCCGATAATGCACACCCTAGCTGCAGTGGCAGAACATAACTGTTTCTGTCATTAATGAATCGATTTTTTTTTATTTCTACCGTACTGCAAACAGTAAATCAACATTGAATAGCTGGTATATCATTAAAATCGTATTAGTTGCTCTTTAATTACTAGCAATTCCCCATTTTTTCGCAGACGCTATGGCTAAGCTGTCTTGGTTTTTATACTTTGGTCTACACAGCTCTGTTCTCCCGCTTCCTACTGCTCGTTCTCTACTCAGTGAAGAGCCTGGCTCTAGTATTGAAATCTAGCTGATTTGCCATTCCTTTGTATTCAAAAATATAAAAAATAAAAAATCCCCACTCTTTACTAAGGCAGTTCACAGAAGGGAAAGGAGAATAGTAAAGGGAAGCTAAGCACGGTAATGTTTAGATTCTGCTCTTGGCTTTGTTGAAACTGACGTACAGTCTGGGTTCCTATTATCTTTCTTAATCGTAGATGCTGTGTTGCTATGGGAATAAGTATTTTTCAGCAGAAAATGGCGCAGTTGATTTTACATTCTATTAGTTTTCTTGCAAGTTTGTTCTAAATTTCGTTATGATTGAGCTTTTTAACTTGTAAGTTTGTTCTAAGAAACTCATCATACACAAAACAACCAGAACGAGTCTTCAAGGTTTCACATATATCACCAACACCAAGGGTAAATGGTTAAATAATAACTTTAACATTCACTTCTCTTTTCAATAATCTCAAGGATAAATGGTTAGAAGTTCTCGATTAGCCCATTTTATTTTCCTTATACTATGGGTACAATATTCATTAAGAACAAAATTACACTATAAGTTCAATATCCATTGGAAACAAAATTCTTCTATCCCTTGTTTGAATGAAAAACATTCATCTCTCTTCATTTTGATCCAAACGTCCATTCCTGCATTTAATATACCACTGGTTCAGGATATAGATTATACCCTTCCAGTTCCCCATTATTCTCATTGCTACCCTTGTAGCCTCCTCATCTATGGTTTCTCAAAGAAACTTACCAGCTTCAGGCCAAAGAGCGGCGGTGTGCTTGACCGGTCGTCAGCCACCTCTACCTCTTAAGCAACAAAAACTTTACAGAACACTATATGTCTTACCTCCCGCTCAGTTGGTAGAACACAATGTTCTAAATCTTGAAGTCGTGGGATCGAGTTCGCATTTCATAATTTGAAGGTCTACTACGGAAGTTGTTCTCAATCTAGTATTGGGGCACCCATTTTATATGCCTTACCTCAAAAGTATGGACCCGTGTTGAGTCTCAGACTAGGATCCCATAAAGCTTTGGTGGTTGGTAATTCGGAAATTTTAACCATCCAAGATAAGATTTTTGCTACCAGGTCAAGCCTATCTGCCTCCAAGCTACTCGGTTATGACTATGCCACGTTCGGGTTCGCTCTATACCGATCTTACTGGAGCTTCTCTCTAACCACTGCAACTTCAAGCAGATAGGGGTTCAAACGATTACCGAGTGAGTCCTAGCACAAGTCTGCTGCTAAATGTATGGCAGATTCAGCGTGACGAGCGCCTGCGGACCAATCCCGATGAGTTCAAGCCCAAGAGGTCTCTAACAACGCACATTTGAAGGGTAGGAATTTCGAACTCCTTCCGTTGGGTACCGGACGTAGAGCTCTACAAGTAATTCATTTGTCACTGGCCAGCGCCTTACATTGCTTTGAATTGGCAAACCACGAAGTAGGTTCGACGTACGTAGAAATAACCAGTAAGTTCAATTCCGGAGATTTTATTTGGAAAATCCGGACCCCTGGTTGATGAATAAATATCATACTAATATTTTCTGTAATATATTTACTTGTTTAATGAGGTTTGGTGTCGTAAATGCGAAAATTTTCTATGAATTAAAAGTTTTGTACATGTTTAGCATACACGTTGAAAAATTGAATGTCAAAAAGATTTTGGTAGCTTATTATACTGCCACGAGGGAATACATTTGTTATCGGACCGAAGCTGCTCTTGCTTAATCGGCGGTGCTAGTTCCGATATGCGCCACATCTTAACTGCCTTATCTAGGCTACTGCTGTAAAGAATCCATCGTACTTCACCCGATGTCGATTCCTGATCTCTTTCGATGGCCAAGCACTTAACCAGACCGCTGTGTCCGGTTAAAATCGACGAACAAAAATGCTCCTTCCCAGATCTTTTCCACACAGAAATCCCCATATCAGCTGATCCGCTGATAACAAGCTTTCCGGCGGCAACCAAGCAGAGAACGGCCTGTTTATGGCATCTCAAAACACCGACGTGAGAGAATTGGTTTTCAGGTTCCCAGAAGTGAACCAAGGCATCGGACGAGCCACAGTAAACAACCGTAGCATCCGGGCTCAAAGCCAGTGCCGTGACAGAACAGTCTTGTTTCAGCAATGTCTGAAAAGAAATGCTGGGTTCTTTTCCCTGGGTACTCTCTCCTCCACACCTTGACCGTCCCATTTAGAAATAGAGAAAGAAAAGTGTTTTCTTTTCTCATTTAGAAATCTATCTTCAATAATTTCTCTTTCAAAATTTTCATTCAAAGGCAATTATTATATCAGACGGTTCAGCTTTGAACAATGCCAGGGTTCATATTCACTTGTTTGACATCACACCACCATTATCACCATTATATTAGTAGTTTAACCGTTGAATGAGTATGACTCGTTCTATCATTTAGACAACCAAAGAAGATAAGCCCATTATTTTAAAGGTAAAGATTATATTATTCAGATTAATTTGAACTCACGTCGTTTAAACTATACTCAAGTAAAAATAGAGGTGCAAATAATTAGAGTGTTCGATCAATTGTTTGTGAATCGTTCGAATGTGATGATTTTATGTTCATTTATTAAATTAAATAAATGAATATGAGCAAAATTTTATGTTCATTTAATAAATGAACGATCAAGAATATGTGTGTGTTTGATTTGTTTATGATCAAATAGTCCTTTCCTTTTATTCGTGAAGGTAAGGATTAAATTGAACACATAGTAAAATTTGTAGTTCAAACTATAAATCCTAAGGAGCTTAAGGACTACTGATATTTCACTATTTTTTGAAACATTTCTAAACATATAAATGAACATGTTTGAGAACGCTAATCAAACAAACACAAACACCTTAAAATAAACTAATGAATAGCATAATTAAAATTTAAAGAATACAATCGAACATGAATACTTTAAAAAATAAATAACCGAATAAACTTTTGTTTAGCCGGCGACAACATCAATCTTAATGTTGGTTGCCGACCGCCGGTGACTATAAGTTTTCTTGTTTTTTTATATTATGTCTTTTATCTTTTTTACTCGAGTCTTTTTAATTTTGAATAAGATTCTCTGTCATTATGACATGATTTTTCTCTGCTTTTGTGGCATACATTTTTTCTGCTCTTGTGGCAAAATCCTCATGGTTTTTTGTACGTTTTTCACGTGCATTTACGATCATTTTGGTTCTCGCACAAAAACAATCACGATATTTATTTTCTGATTAGTTAGTCGGTGGTCATATATAGTTAGATCCCTCTTTTGGTAAAAAGTTGTTTGTCAATACAACCAGATTGTGTAGCGAAACAACCTGCCAGATTATTTAGTTCACTCTCAACTCCTTTATCACTTCGTCAAACGTCTCATTTGATAGAGATAGAAGTTTTATGAAGGTTATTGGGTTTTGATGTTAGTAGGCCTGTAAATAAACCGAACGCACACGAACGAAGGTATGTTCATGTTCGTTAATTTAATAAATAAACGAACATAAACGAACAATTTTTTTTGTTCATGTTCGTTCATTAAGGAATATAGCTTGTTCATGTTCGTTCATTTAAATGATAAATGAACATAAACGAACGCAAACGAACGAAAATAAACGAAAATAAACGAACATAATAAATGAACATAAACGAACACAATAAATGAACATAAACGAACAACACAAACACAAAAAAAAACATATTCAAACACAACAAATGAATGTAAAAAAAGTAAACAACAAGAATAACTTAAAATTCAATAATATAACCTGCAACTTTAGAGTTAATTTGTTCGAATACGACAAAAACATACATAAATCATAATTAAGCTATATGAACATAATAAAGTCTTAAAGTTAATTTGTTCAACAAAATAACCTTCTTGAAATCCAAACAACTTCAGTAATCTTCTAACGCATTCAACTTGCCTTCTTTTCGAACATAAATGAACTTAAATGAACAAACATAAATGAACATATAATCGAACGTTCACAAACATAAATGAACGAATGAGCCCTTTGTTCATGTTCATTCATTTAATTAATTGAACACAAAATCTTGTTCATGTTCGTTCATTTAATAAATAAAACGAACATAAACGAACTTTACGCTGCACGGTTCATGAACGGTTCGCTGAACGTTCAGTTCATTTACAGGCCTAGATGTTGGTCGTCATTCTCATTAGAATATTTTATTTTTTTTCGCATATTTAATTTTAATTCATTCAATTATTAATAAAATCCAATTACCATTATTAAAAAAACCCAAACATAATTACAACCTTATTCGTTCAAAGCCGGTTTATTTACACCTCGGAATAAAAGACTAAGAGCTCACCAGATATCTCCTAGTTGACCGCCATGAAAAGAGCAACATGGTTATCGACCGCCAGTTTTGGAACTTGGATGCCTTTGAGGCTTGAACCTGATAAATGAAAATTTGTTAAAAGAAGTATACAGTATTGTTGCTTAGGCATAGATGTCAACTCCCATTGATGATTTGTTTAAGTGATTTTAACAAAGTAGTTAGAATTCCTATGTAGTTATCACAAATGCACGCAAAGCAAGGGAGATGGTACCATATTAATGTTTGCCATAAATGAAGCCAACCCCGTACAGTTGTTTTTCATACACAAAATGTTTGAAGCTTTAACGAGAACTTTATAATCAGCCTTTCTGGATAAATTACATCACAAATCACTTAATTATTTGAAAAATTATACATCGAGTTACTGAATTTTAAAAAGTTACAAATTATTACAATAGCTTTTTTTATTTTTTAAACAACTTTAGAATTATTAATTTATTTTTTTCCATTTTTTTTCCTAAGCACTAGTGGTCTTCGATTTCAAAAGACAAAACCCATCAGCCGAGTAAAGCACAGAGAATTCTCCCTTCTCCAAAACTGAAAACTCTGCGAAATGAACAAAGAGCCCTAAATGCATCTGCTTCTATTTTCTCCATAACAGGCAGAAACTTTTTAACTTCAAGCAAAGAAGAAGAAAATGGCAGCTGAAAAGCCTACCTCTAAAGGCCAAGCAAGGTTAGGGTTTAGTTTTTCAACTCAAGTTAATACTTAATATATCTCAATCTCTCGAGAAAAAAAAAAGAATTATTCTTTCTCATTTCTGTTTACAGGTTTTGTGCTACTGGATTACCAAGTGACGTTGTAATTGAAGTCGGTGACATTACTTTTCATCTCCATAAGGTTAGTAAAGCTTCGAAAATTTCACTATTTTTTTTCTCAGTTTGATGATGCCTTTTTGTATTTTGTTTTCCAGTTTCCTTTGATGTCAAAAAGCAGAAAACTTGACCAGTTAATAGCAGAGCAAGGTTGGAATAAATCATCAACTGCAACCGTTACTAAGCAAAAGCAACGTGAAACCAAGACCGAAATTGAAGAAGTAGAGGATTGTCAGGAAGAAGTTGAAGAAGAAAATGACGAATGCCAAATATCTCTACCTGATTTCCCTGGTGGTTCGGGAACTTTTGAAACTGCCGCCAAATTTTGTTACGGCGTAAAGATCGACCTCTCCTCCTCCACCGTCGCTCTTCTCCGTTGCGCAGCCGAATTCCTGGAAATGGCTAATGAGTATTCCGAAGATAACCTTATTTCCAAAACCGAACGGTTCCTTTCTCAATTCGTTTTTAAGAGCCTTAAAGAATCGATCGAAGCGTTTAAATCATGCCAATTAGTGATGTCTTTAGCGGAATCTTTAGGCATTGTTCAGAGATTGATCGATTCTATCGCTGTGAGAGCTTCTTCTGCCGATCCGACTCTGTTTGGCTGGCCAGTGAAAGAAGGAATCATCGAAGCCAAAGGCTCCTCCAGCCACGTTTTACGGAACGGACTCGAAACCAGTCGAGAAGAAGAGCTCTAGCTCGAACCAACAATGCAGAGTTGTGGTTTGAAGATCTCGCATTGCTGAGTTTATCGTTGTTTAAACGCTTGACTTTAACGTTCAAAATGCGAGATATGAGTCCAGATATTATCGAAAGATGCCTTATATCTTATGCTAAGAAACACATTCCTGGAACATCTCGGTCGAATCGGAAATCGCCGTCTTTGTCGACCTCTGTTGTTTCACAGAGTGAACAGATAGAGCTTTTGGAAACTATCATCTCGAACCTGCCGTTAGAAAAGAGCCACTCCCGCTCATCAACCCCGACGCGGTTCTTTTTCGGTTTGCTACGAATCGCCAACATTTTAAACGCATCGGAATCTAGCAAAGCCGCGTTAGAGAAAAAGATCGGGATTCAGCTGGAGCAAGCTACATTAGACGATTTGTTGATTCCGAGCTACTCGTATCTCAATGAAACGCTCTACGATGTTGACTGCATTGAGAGGATTTTAGGTTATTTTTTGGACGGATTGGAGGACGGAACCGCCGAAAGAACAGAAACTGAAGGCGATAATATTATTGTCAATAATAATAGTGTAAGGCCGTCGGCGTTGATTGCTGTCTGGAAACTAATCAACGGTTACCTTTCGGAGATCGCATCCGACGCGAATTTGAAGACTGAGAAGTTTTATAATCTCGCCATTTCCCTTCCTGACCAAGCTAGAAATTTCGATGATGGACTTTACAGAGCTGTCGATATGTACCTCAAGGTACAATTAGGCTAATAGCATAAGAAAACGATTAAATCTTAAGAATAAAGTTAGTTAATTCAGCTCTTTGTTATTTGGCAGGCGCATCCTTGGATTCCAGAATCGGAGCGGGAAAGGCTATGCGGAGTATTATTAGATTGTCAAAAGTTAACCCTTGAAGCGTGCACACACGCGGCACAAAACGAACGGTTAACACTACGAGCAGTCGTTCAAGTGTTGTTTTTCGAGCAGTTACGGTTGCGTCAAGCGATTGCCGGGACATTGATGGCGCCGTTGAGTGCAGGAAGAGCGGTGGAGATGAGGAGAGAGGAAGAAGAGACGGAGGAGGAGGGGACAGCGGCGTCGTTGTCACGAGGGGAGCAAGGGAGGACGAGGGGTAACAAGTGGAGAGCGGAGGTGAGAGAGAATCAGGTGCTTCGACTAGACATGGATAGTATGAGGACGCGGGTGCATCAGCTGGAAAGGGAATGCTCAACGATGGAGAAGGTGATTCAAAAGATAGAGAAGGGAGGTCCACGTGGCGGTGGTTGGAAAGGGTCGTTGAGTGAGAGGTTTGGGGTAAATTCACGAAATAATGCACTCAAAATAAATAATTCAC